TGGCTCTCTGTGTTTCAATGCTTTTCCTGCAGTGGAGGTGTGAATATGGATTCTTTGGAAGGATACAGACAGATGTAGTCAGAATTGATTTAGTGTGAAGGAAAGCATTGTAAGGGTTTCTTTAATGTCCACAGAACATTCTGCAAAAGTTCTTTGCATCTGTTTTTTGAAGTTGTGATTCGCATTTTCTGAAAGCAGCTGACACTGATTCTTTTAATAATGTGTAATTATCTTAGTAAATTATGGTAATTGTCTCTGTCATGACCATCTTTTTGAACACCTGAAGGCAGAGAGCGACAAAAGAATTCTAATAATTCTATTACTTCACAAGATAAATTTAAGATAATTGGCTTTCAAACAAACCTTAATTTTGTTTGAATATCAAACTCAGTCATACTGCTTGTAGTCAGCCTGCTGCCCCAGAAGGATACTGCTTTGAGCATTGCCTTAACAGGGATCTTTCCTCCTTATTTTATCACTGTTCTTTAGAACTTTAAATTATAGGTTCAGGACAAAGGAGAATGAGAACTATGCAAAGCCATGAGGGAGAGATGTGAGCAAGCTATATGTATGGTGAAATAAAAAACACATAACGCTTCATTAGGATGCGTTGTATGAAACAAGAGATGCCTTATACATATTTGGATTTTACATCTACAGTAGAGGAAAAAAAATATTGGCTTTTATTGTACAATCTTTAGGACATTTTTTTTCTCACCTTTTTGAAGGGTACTGGGAAAATTGCACTGACAGAAGTAATTTTGAACATGTAACACTTTTTCATAACATTATGTTGTTCTTAATCTGATTTAAGAACTTTTTTCTTTCTTCCACTCAATTTTACTTTTAAAATAGACTGGAAAGATTTGAGCTTTGTTTTTTGCAAGTGTGACAAGTTCTCTCATACAGACTCTGAGGTGTGCCCCCAGTGATCTGGGGCTTTTGGGGTTACTGATGTTTGGATTGGATTACTGGCTCTTGACAGATGTGGGCAAAATGTTGGAAAGAAGGCTTTGTGTCCATGGCTTTTCTTTGAAATGCAGTGAACAGGCAGTTGTAAGTAATGATTCTCACATGATTCCTAGGTGTCGTAAGACTGCTAATTTTGTCTTTACATATTTTGATGTAAGTACAGAGTATGTGGGACTGTTCTTTTTCTAGCCTTTTCCACTCCCTATAAAACTTGATCTTTTTAAACCACGCAGTTCTTCAGTATCTCAATCAAGACAGAATCATGTGTTGAGAACATGCTAGTTAACAGTTGAGTTTTTATTTGTATGTTAAACATCATTGAACTTAAAAACTGACAAAGGACATTGGGAGACCTTTGATTAGCCTCATCTAGTGCTACAAATTACATTGATATTGCAAGTAAGGATAAGCTTGAGATTTTCAGCAATTTGAACTGAGATTGATTGAAATCCACACAGTAATACCCTTAAGAGTAAAAGATGGATCTGTACATTGTAAGATGTGCGTTAGAAATAGAAACTAGAGAAGAAATGAGAGATAATAGTATGATAGAGTTGAAGAATATATTGAGCTTTCCTTTTGATTACTACTTTTCTGTAAAACATTATTTAACTAATTGTGGGTTTTCTTAAACTACTCTGCTACAAGATACTCTTGTTTCATTGATGTCCTATTTCTAGCCACATTTTCACTGTTGGTGCTTCACTTGATGCCTTTCAAGTTTAAAACTTGTTTTGCCTGCTCTACAGTACAAATATGTTCCTGACCCTTTCTTTTGGATGAAAGATGCTAGCAGTCATCAAGTTCTTCAGTGAGGCAGATTTATAAATATTGTAGATGTTACAAATGTTCTTTGGAAAGTTAGATGCTGTCGTCGTTCCAGATTGTGTCAGTCAGCAATACTGGGCAAAATTGTCATTCACAGTATATAAAACATACTAATTTTTAATTATGTCTAAGTAAATACTGAATTTTCAAAAATAGTATTTGTTAAGCACATAAGGTAAAATATGTGCAGCTGTAATTTAATAATCCAGTATGACAGGCAAATGGCAGAATTTATTTCTGTGTAAATCAGGTACCACATAAAAAGCAATATGAGTTATTTAATTATTTTTATGTTAATACAAAATGTATGGAAAACTATACACCTAGGGAACCACATGAAGAAGTTTTAATGAGGTGCTTTTATTTAGATTCTGCTTTCTAATACCTGCTTTTGAAGGCAGTTCTACAACATGTTAAACACTTCTAAATCAATAATTATGTGGTCCAAGCTTGTCCTTTCTTTTCCTGTATTTCAGCTTTGCCCAGTGTGTTGTTTTCTTACCTGATTCCACAGTGAGTTTTCTAGAGTTAAATCAGCTGATGGGAGCCATGTGCTTCTGAGGAGTAGGAGGAAAGGAAATGGAATTGTTTTTAAACAGCTCAGCATCCTCCATCACCTCACCATGTGGTTACCTTTACTTGAACTCCCATAGCCTATATAACTTCAAAATAGAAGTGTCATACTGTAAAGCCATAGTTTTGTAGACCCATATAAAATGGATTTTATTGAAATTCTACTTTTAAAATACTAGCTGATTTAAGGAATTGAAAAATTATGAAAGCACATGAACCTTGCTTAAAATTTAGGTTCAGGTATCTGTGCTTAATACAAATGAAATCATACTAAATTATTTGGCTAATATATTTGTATCTCATTTCTGTGTTATCCTTAACTTCAGCTGAGTACAGAGTGTTAAAAAAAAAAAAAAAAAAAAAAAAGCCAAAACAAACCACCACTCCAGTATTCATAAGATGGATATCTCTAGCTGAAAAACTTCTGGAGAGTGCTAATTTGAGATCTAGGTGAGCTTAGGAGTGGCCATTTCTTGACAAAATTCATTTTCAACTTTTGTATTCTTAAATATATGTTACACAGAATTGAAGAAAAATTGCAACTAAAAACATCAGCCTATAATAAAAGTTACAAAACTGCACTTGTAGGTTCTGGTCAGAGGAATTGAAGAAACTGTATTCTTCTAATACAGAATATGTAGTGCACTGTATTCAGTTGCAAGGGCAAAGGTATGTTACTTGATGAGTATTTACCTTCTATCATTCTTTGAGTGTACTGGATTATTTTGATCAAATCTTGAACCTGTGATTTATCTAGAACACTGGCATTTGTAAGGTGATGCCTTTGTATCTAAGTATGTGGAAGTTTCATCCTTCTTACTGCTCTATAATTTCATTATTCTTCAAAGCTATGTAGGTTGTTCTTGTCAATATACTGCAGCATTACTGATCATTAATTACCAAGACTATGAAACTGAGTTATCAGCATAAGAAGATTAATGTTTGCAATTTAACTGGAATCAAGCATTTTATATTCTCCTCTGCTCCACAGCATAATTTAAAATGAGAACCTCCTTGTCCTTGTTAGTTGCTGCTGATTTCAGACTGGTCAAATGCAATGTTAATTTCTCTATTTATTAACAATTTCCTTTCCCATCTCTTTGGATATGAAGTTACTGGATTTCTAGCACTTGGGATACTCAGCATCCTAAATTGTCTGTCCTTGATAATAAAGCTGCTCTGGTAATTTGGGAGGGGTTCAGTGGTGAGGTACAATAATTCATGAGACAGATGGGATGTAGGAAGTCACCAAAGGCTTTATCACTTGGAGATATGTGGGGAAGTCTGATGCTTTCATCACTCTTCCTCCCTCTTATAATCCTATGTGCCATCTCCCAACTTCTTTACGTAATAAGGGAGGGACCTGGAAAACTCATCTATACACAGATAAAGAAATATAGAGATACATCCTGAAAGGAAGTTGACTGTCAAAGAAATACAATTTTGCAGGCTGAGAAAGTGTTTCTTACAGTACAAGTGAAGTATGACAGAAGGTTTAGGCTTTGGTCAGTAGTGCATTGGGAAATAAATGAAAGATCCAGTGACTTTGGCAGATGATCTAGTTTTTGCATATTAATTAAGAAGACTTCATCAAGCAACTTTATAAAATCCACTTAAAATATTAATACCAAGCTCCTTAGAACTGCATTGGCTGAGGGGCAATTTGAGAAGGTTATTTTTTTATTACAATATGAGCTTTGATTTTATAGCATGGAAAAGGAGATTCCCTGCAATTTTCCTGGTCTGAGGCATGCCATCTCTCTAGCAAGTCAGGTTTGGTTACAATCAGCCATAGTCATTAATGAAGCAATTCCAGCTGCTACTTTTTGGCTGCTTACATACAACTACTCTGTTCTTCCTTTTCAGCCCATACAAGGTAACCTATGGTGGCTGATCTCTTAGCAGGAGGGCAGTGTATTTCTGAATATGCTAGGCAGGGCTGCAGGGTCAAACTGGGATCACAGGGATTTCTCCTCATCCAGATAATGAGCAGAAAATTTATTTCCCCCCCCCCATTATAAGCTCTGTGTGTCAGAATGCTAGCTGGAGATAGATATTGCTTGCTTAAGCATTAAAATGTCATTATTCTCCTATTTTGGAAATAATAGATTAAAGGCACTTAAACATTTTTGAAAACCTGTAAATTAGTCAGATTTGCCTAATTCTGTAGGCTTAGGATTTATTAACCATTGTTGGTTTTTGTCTTATGGTATTACATGTGAATTCATGACTCTTAATAGACAGCACAGGAGTTTAAAACTAGTTCAGAAAATGAAATAAGTTTGTATGGTAGACTTGTGATGGTAGGTTTATATTAAAGGTAACTTTTTTCCCAGCTAAACACAGGAATTGAGTAAATTGCTAAGCACTTACTCTGCTAAATATATCACATTATCATCAGAAAGAAAATTTAAGCTTTCTCTGATCATGGGTCAAGATGAAAATACATTAACAGAGACAATCTTGTAAGAGAATACTCAAATTTGATTATTAAATTAAGGATTTTGAAAAGTTATCATGTATCTTATGAATTTGTCACATTTAAAAAATACAGCTGAGTCACTCTTACAAACAGGGTTTCTGATTTTGCAAATACAAAGCTGACAGTCTTTTTTTCTCTTTGACAGATGGGGATGGACAAAGTGAACATTTATTACCCGTCTGCGAAGACAGAACATGTCAAAAAAGTGCCATCTACGTAACTAAGCATGGATTGGATCAGGTATGGTGAGTTTGAAATTGCAAAGACAAAGGCAAATACTGTGCTTTATGAAAGAGTATCAAACACGAAAATTACTTTTCAGGAAGGAAAAACTTCCTCATCTGTAATTATTGCATAAAAGAGAATTTAATTTGTTTGTTTGTTTATTACCTAACTAAAACAATATGGGTTTGGTGGAAGAGGTTGCATACCTAGAATTCTATGTAAGGGATAATTCTATTCTAGAAAATTTATTTATATTTCCAATGAGTCACTTCATTGCTTGCAAAACACTCCATTCTAAGAACCATAGCTGCCCCAGCAGGAGATGACAAACAAGGTTTATGCTAAGAGTTGGAAACAGATTTAATTAATTCAAATAAGCTTCTTCAATTTTAAGTCAAGGAGTTATTCTATAGTTAAAAAAACAAACAAGCAACCCCACAACACACTCACATGTATCTATATATAAATGCATACACACATGCATAACAAGTTGAACCAGCCCACACCTCCTACCCTTTATTTCTACTGTGCCTGATTGTTATTAAGTAAATTTCCAAATGGTATATAAAGACCTGTTTAGGCTGTGTATCTTCAGGATTGAGTTTTTATTACATTATTTCACCTTTGTTTATTCACAACACTACTTGTTTTGATAGACATGGTCATAATTCATGTAACATCACTCTGTACTGGAAAGGAAAGCAGGCAGTTACCAGTCAGTCAAGGAACTATAACTAGTATGGAATATACCATCAGCCTAAAGAAGAGTAACTAACTCTACATTTGGTTGTGTGTATTTTCAGCCTTCTAATCTTGGCATCTCTGCTCTTGGAAATGCATGTATTTCTGTGCACACTGTTTGGAAGTTTGTGGGTTCATTTGGGGTTTTTCACATGAATTCCCTGTGAACACAGAATAGAGGCAGTGGGTGATAGTGCTGCTGGACACGCAGTGTGACAGCAGAGTTTGATTTAGGGGTCGTGGCCTTGCATAAAGCAAGTGGCTGCTCATTTCCTGATACCTGTGCTGCTCTCTGGTCAAAGGGAAACACAGATGTTTGATAAGCATGTTACACTGATTACAGTGCTGTAATGGGCTGCTTACATTTCACTGTTCAGTAGCTGGGGTGCTCTTATGTCAAAAAACAACTGCTCTTTAGCTCTAAGTGTAGTTCCTTACCCATGATAACAGAAGAAGTAAAAGACATTTGACTTTTTCTGATCAAGTAATTTTATTTTAAAAAGTGAAGAAGTCAACAGATTCTCATTCTGATAGAAAAAAAGCATTAAGAAGTACTAAGAGTTACCTAGAAACTTAAAAGCAATTTTCTCTGCATATTTTTAGAAGGACTTTTTCATTAAAAATGACAGTATCAAATTACATGCCATGATGACTTGTTCTGGCCTAACCTTTTTAAAGATTTATACCTAGAATAGTCTTTTCTTGCACTCTTAGACTCATCTAGAGTTGATGGAGCTTTTTCTTCTAAAGTATTTTATCCTTTCCATTCTGAAACAGTGGAAAATGTCAGCATCTTCATTCATATGTCTACAGTTTTTCCCATGTGTTGCATGTATCCTTCAGGTAGAATCTATTTAAACATGTTACCTCCCATAGTGTCACTGAATTTGGTCATCATCAGATGACCCAAATTCCAAGCCTTGACTAAATAAATTAACCTTCATGAGCAATTACAAAAGTAAACTGTGTGGCAACAGACTAAGATAATTTATTTTTGTTTATTTAATCACTATACAATTTGAGGATAAAAATAATTAACTCTTGTGATGCAGAATGTGTTTCAGCAAGGCGATGACAGCACTTGTCTAACAGGAAGGTAATTACAGGGAATATATGGAAAACTGAGAGATTGCAAATCTGTTATTGAAAAAGTAGATTATATGTATCCATTATGTTAGTTGAGTTTTTGCTGCATGGTCTTAGGGCTTCAGGGTTTTTTTTAGTGTTAAGAATGTAGCTAGGAGTTCTGGTTTCCAAAGTTGTTTTTTAAAAGAAATTTACTGATCTCAGATCTGAAAGATCACAAATTACGTGACTGTCCTATAAAAATTATTTTGCTTACAGCAACTGGACCTGGTTCTGTCCTTTCTACTTGTCTGTTGTGACCTCTGAAGAAACCAAACCAAAAACAGTTAATTCAGTTCTGTGATAGTGTGTGATGCATTGGGATGAAATGTGTAGAAATCAGAAATATGCAACTGTTGTTTGTGGTTCTAAAAATTATGCTGTAGAGAGACATCCTGTGGCATGTCAGGCTTTGGAATTGTTCTGGGAGGTTCTTGTCGAATATGTCAGTCTACAGTATATCTCTCATGTCTTTGGCACAGCTACACAGTTACTGGAAAGCCAAGGAGATGCAGGAGAATTATTTCAAGGATGATCCTTCACCATGGGTTTTAATTTATTTATTTAATCTTTCTAAGTATTAGGAATATCTCAGATACATTTTCTTCATGGAGCAAAAGTAAAGGCTGACAAAATAGGTATTGAGTGACTTCATGAGATACAGATCTACTGAAATTTTAAAAGAATGTGAATGTTGCCATAGCAACAGAAGAATTGCTGCCAGATCTGAGTTAGAATCCATACACAGTTTCAGATTGTGGCAAGAGTTAGGACACCTCAGACTTCTTTAAATTCACCTGCAATAGCTACAGACTAAAATGTTAGCTGATTTAGGTCGCTCATCTAGACTCAGAAAATCAAGCTGAGTTCTTCCTGAAACTTGTTTTCAAGTCCCTAGTAGTGTTAATTGTAGAAACTCTCTATTATTGTACTCTTAGAGATGACTAATCTTTCTTTTAATGTGACCAAGTATTCAGTATGATGTTTCCTGAAGCAACCAGTATTATTTCAGTTCCTTCATCTGAGAGTTTCTTTGTAAGTTTCAGGATTCTTATAACCCTTCTCTGTACAATATAAAGGTTGGAGCTTTATTCCTCTTATAAACCATGGAGCTCTGAAGCAGAACACAGCAATGCATCCTTCAGCAAACTGCAGGTATCATTCTCGAGGCAAGAAAGGCATTTTGACAGCACTGATTATCAGCTGCAGTTGGTCACTGTTAGACGTTTTTCCTTGTTCCTCTATAACAGTTCAAAAAAGAAGGTGGGGGAGTGGATTGCAGCTGCTGTAATTTTCATAAATCTCAGATTCTACAAGATCCTCTGATCATTTTTAAGTTGCTCATCTCTCAAAGCAGCTATGGAGCTGTGTTCCAGCATTGAAAATACAACTGTCACTGTTTTGGTTACTTTTTCCTCTATATTGTTAAATCAATGGTGGGGATTGTCCTCTTCTGGGCTTTGCACACTGGAAGTTCATGGTGTAATGTACAGGTAATTTACCTAGTTTATTTTTGAGCAGTAGTGGTTTAGGTTCAAAGACCTGCTAACAGACTTTAGAGCAAGAGGACTGCCTTCCCTAATGTAGAGAAGAATGTGGTCTCTAGGAGATGTGCCCTTTTTGAGTGAAGTGGGGTGAGTGAGACTAGTTTTAAATTTTTCTGAAGTACACAATTTTATTCCATTTTTCAGCCTGCTTTTCCATCTGAGCTAGGTAACAAATCATACTATCAGAAAACAGCCCAAAACAGCTGTGTCCCCACAATAGCCATCTATTGATATCTTGGAATAAAAGGAAAAAAATAGTTTGAGTCTGTTTCCTATTAAAAAAGTAACAGCAAACGTGAAGCTTAAAGTAGTCGTCTGGATTATCAAATACACCATAAGTAGGTGATTTGTATTATTAACAACTTTATTTTAATTTTTTGCCTTCTTACTGACATTTATGTCCTGGGGCACATGCACAGTTAATCTTGCACTACATGACAAAATACTGCCCTTTATAATTAAGCATGAGTTTCACTGAAAGTGGGAATTACTCTGAATTTAAACTGTCACAGTAAGTTACATATGATGCTAGAATGTGCTCTGGGTCCTCATCAAACAAGAGTGATGTTTTCGAAATGTTCTGTAACTGGTGTTATGAGAAGTCCCATAACTGATTCAGTGAGATGAATGAATCTTACTCTGTAGAGTACACAGTGATGATGCTTGGTAGCAATAGGTCATGTTTCTGGTTCGCTCACCTGTATTTTTACATCTCTGCATTTCACTGTAGACTATAATTGTTAAATTGCTTTCTGCTAAACACTCCAACTCAAGTAAAAACTGAATAAAATCTGCATTTGTGCCTGAAAATTCATTTTTTCTTTTATTTCTTGAAAACAATGATACCATACATGGGAACATTTAGAAAGTATATGATGGATATAATTGGATTTCATTGCGATGATTGCATGAATGATACCATGTAAAGTAAAGCCTATTGTATTTCATGGTTCTGATTTCAATCAGTGATTTTCAAAATTACAATATTGTGTAATAATTTTGTTTCATCTGTCTTCTGCATGACAAATAAGAGCTAAATTTAACCTTTTGAAAAATTTGCCTTGGTTTAAGAGTATTTTCCTTTTTCTCTGGTTCTTCAATTTTCCCAAACCTTCAGCAGCTAACTAAATAGGGACACATACATTGGGAGGGAGGCTGTAGCAGGGGTCAAAGTACGATTTACTTCAAGTTTTCATCGAGAATGTGTTGGAGTTGATCGTTGCAGTTCAGATGTCATTGCTTACACAGGCAGATACGCAGTAAATATATACAGTGTCTGGCAGAACAGTTCCAGGTTTCTAAGCCATCTGTGATATCCAAACAGAGTTGACCTTAGTGCACTTTTAAAATAAATGTGAAGGCCTCTCTAACATGCACATGGTTGCATGTAATCTCAAGGGACCAGCCCACATGTCGCACGCAATTGCCATGTGGCAGGAATGTTGTTGATTACTGAATTGTGTTAGTGAGGGAGTCTCTGCACAGCAGGAAATTATTCTGTCAGGGATCTCATTCTGGTTTCTGAAATAGCTAAATTAAGGCTTGGATGAAAGACATTTAAAATGCTGTTAAGTGGTTTTGATGTTGTGGTGATAGAGATCCTTGAAGATGGCACCCTTCTTTCCTTTTGAAGGCATTATCGGTTAGTTGACATGTAAAATTACTTCTGGCTTTAAAAATGGCACTGAATTTTTCTGTAGCATTGAAATGTTAACCCTGGTACTTCAGCTTCATACCAACTTGTGAAATTACTTTGATTTTAATTAAGATAAATTTCTGTTTAGCATCTCTTTGGAACTAAGTGCAGATACAGTCTATTTCTTGTCCTGGAGAATTATACTTTGCATTTCTTTTGTACTTTCAATTTGATACTGTAATCTTAATCTCTTATCAAACAGTTCAGTATCTGATGCTGCTGGGGAGATAGGAGAGAAGTTAAAGCTCTTGAACTTCTACATATCCATGAATAATAGAATCATTTGAGCTGAAATGAACCTTAGGATATCCAGTCTCCTTTAAGTAGGGTCAGCAGTGAATTCAGACCATGTTGTTTAGAGCTTTGTCCAGTCAAACTCTGAAAATTCCCAAGGACAAAGTTTCTGTATCTTGTGTCTCTTGCCTAGTTGAATTACCATCACAGTGAATTTTTGTGTGTTTATCTCTAGCTGGAATTTCCCTTGTCAGTTTGACCTTTGTCTTTTGTTCTCCTGCCATGTATATCAGTAGAAAGCCTGGCTCCATCTTCTCAGTTATCTCCTTGCATGAATTGGAAGGTCCAATTAGGTCCTATTATGTCCCCCCTAAATCTTTAGTTCTCCAGGCTGAGCAAGCCCTGTGCCCTCAGCCTGTCCTTTGAGTAAATATGCAATGCCTGGGGATCTTGGTGACCCTTTTCTAAACTCAGTATTCTCAAATGTTTCTTGAACCATGAGGCACAAAACTGGACACAGAATCCAGATGCAGACTTACAAGTGCTGAAAAAAGAGCAATAATACTTGCCTCAATCAGCAGGAGCATAGGCAGCAGTTCCAGTGCAATCTGCTGTTTGCTGTCATAGCTGCCACACTTGGCTTTACCTTACTGTCCACCAGGACCCATGCATCTTTTTTAGCAGAGCTGCTACTCATCTGGTCAGTCTCCAGCCTGTACCAGTGCAGGGGTTTACTCCCATCTGCAGGATTTTCTATGCTGATTGTTATAAGGTGCCTGTTGGCCCATTCTTGCCTTCCTAGGTCCCTTGCAAATGGCCACCTTGTCCAGAAACACATTGATTGTATCCCCTTTTGGTCTTGGCCACAAATGTAATGAGGGTGCATCCCTCCTCCAGCTTTAATGTCGCCTATTGCTTGCAATTCCAAGAAAAACACTGGGACTCAGGATCTCAAGGCTCTGAGGGTTTGGGCTTACCTACACTTAAGGATCAGTACATATTCAAGGCAAGCCTGAATTTCAGTGAATTTGTTCCTGAGTTATCTCCATACACTAGACACATTCGAAAACACTTGATTCTTATAATCTTATCTATGTTCTTCTGTTCTGGAGTAATTTAGTGCATAAAAAAGACAAAATTATGTTTTTCATTTGATGAAAGGCTTAGGAAATAATCCTTATTTCCTCTTTGGAAATTTTGTACATGGTTGAGAATCCTGATGCAGTGAAGAAACCTCAGCTGTTTTAAAAAGAATTAGGCTGTTTCAGTAATGAAAATAATTTTCTTACCTAGCTGATTTTTTTTTTGTTTTATTTTACAGTGGATTCCAGTCTTGCAAGACTTCAGAAATAAAGACACACTCTGGGGCTTTGTACCATATCAAAATAACAAATCTTCAACAGAAGTTTCATTTCCAATTACACTTCATATTGGTGATTACAATATGGATGGCTACCCAGATGCTCTTGCTATACTACGGAACACATCTGGAAGGTAAAGTATACACAAACCTAGAAATAAAGACTTATCAAATGCATGTTCAGTCATCAGTCATACAGATGATTAATTTCAGTACATCTCATTCATTTTATCAAGTGAACAAGACTTGTGTTCTCTGTTAAATGTTTCCCTTTTGAAAAATGTACTGCCTTTACATGGTATATTCAGAATACAAAATTGTATAGGCATAGACTGTGACTCTTGGTGGGGAGCTGTACAGAGGCATGAAGTACCATTTTAGGTGCTCCTCTTGGATCACAGGAGCTGATTATCTCTCCCTTTCCCAAGTAATCTTCTGTAAAATCTTGACTTCAGCTTTCAGCGTTAGGAACATCAGGCTTCTGAAAGCTGGAGAGCCTGTTCCGTGCTGTCACATGGAGTGAATGCTGATTGCTGACTGCTGAAAACACACTAGTGTGTTTTGCCTCTTTTGAGAACCAATTTTGTGTTGTCCAAATGTAACTGAAGTAAACAAACTCCCATGCCCCTCTTTTCAGGGGGTGCTTGGGGAACCCAAAAACCAACCAACCAAAAAACCTTCTAAACTTTCTCTTTTTCTTTTTTTTTTTCTTTATTACTTACTTTCCTAATACTTTGTATTGCTACTGTCTGGTGTTATGTGGGAGAGGGCATGTAGTGATGCTTACAGGGAGACTTATTGTACATAGAGAAGTTAGTGATCCACTTAACAATTGACCTGTGTAGGTGCAGGCCTGTGCTGCTCTGCACACACCACTTGGCTGCAGGATAAACTTTGCCAGCTAATCGTAACGGAGAAGCCTGTAGGCAGTTCCCACCTGGCACCTGGTGATAATACCACTGGCATGTCCTTGTCTTTACCTTGAAATGAAGCAGCATGTTTTCATGTGAACATTCTTTTGCTTGGCAGTAGAAATATTAATAGGCTTGTTTACTTCTAAGCAAAAAAAAAAACCTGTGTATGGACAAAAATGCAGAAGAACTTCACTACAGATGGGATATGTGCATCATGCCATGTCCTTACTAGAGGTCTGTCTGATGCTGCAGAACTTGGGTTTTCCAGCATCTGAAGAGATGTAAGATTAGCTCTACGATCCTGGTTTTCTTCCTCATGTCATCACTTGTAAGAGGTATTCTAATGAATACCTTATGGACTTTCAATATCTTCCTTATTGGGTTCTAGGACAAATACTTGCACTAGACTATTACAAGGCAAAATTAATCTTTCTTACAGGTGTATTTATTATCTTCTGTACAGTATTTTGAATGAGCTTGGGTGCACAGGTTCATCATTTAAATTAATATTGAAAAGGACTGAGAAGCTCACTTTGGTGATTAAAACAGTATAGAGACAATTTATATGCTGAAGTCAAAGAATTCAGTTCAGATCCTCTAGTGGTTGCTTGAACATGATTTACCCACTGACATCTTTGTGTTAAAAGTTCTTCAGATACTGACACATACCTAAAGTTGACCCAGTTTGAGAGTTATATGTGTGTGTGTTCAGTCTGTCTGATGTGATTCAGAGACAAGGCACTGAGCAGCTGAGCTCTGCCTCTGTATCTCTGAGTCTTAAAATAACTAGCACAGCAGCTCTTTATATTCAGACATGGGAGAGGAGAAGGATCTGATGCTGTTGCTGCTCAAACTTGCATAGGCAAAGTTAAAGCACTCATCCTCTGAATGTCAGTTTTTTCACTTGATAGCCTTGCTCAGTTGGGAGTTGGCATCTTCTGTTCAGCAGTTGTTGAATAAAGGCTGTAAACAGTCTAGAGAGCAGACTAGAACCAGTGTCTTCCCTCTTCCATAGAAATACCATGTCATCTAAACTGTAATGCTGCTCTTGTCTTTGTTTTTACTTAAGCCCCACAAATCCTATGTTTTGAGCTGTACTGCAGGCTATTTTGTAGAGTGGATCCTGATAGCTAGTACACTTGAAAAGGACCTGATGAAGATTTATGGAGTTCAGAAGTTAATTTGAATTTATTTTGTCCTTTAAGATTTTTTTGGACCTTGTCTCCTCTGGGTGGTGTATAACTATAGCAGTGTAATATTCTGTAAAAGATTAAAATAGTTCATGAAGATGTAATCCTGTAAAACCCCAGGAAGTTACTTATGTCTCATTGCACTCTGATAAGCTTTAATCTTTATTCTCCTTGCTTCTGAAATGGTTTATTCAATTGAGTGCATCTTAGTGTAATTTTGAAACTTGACTTCAGAGTTGAATGACACAGCAAGGCATAAGGACTGAAGGTACTGGCAGATGATTTGGCAGGTTATTAAGAGGGTAGTTCAGAGAGCTGAGGAAGTCTGACAAAAAAGCCTAAATAAACTAAGAATTAAGAAATTCACTGTATGTTAACACTATTTTTCCAGTGTTAGTAAAAAAGTAATGGAAACAAACTTTGTACTTGGGGATGGGATTGAAAGTCACTTTTTTGCATCCACTATGAAATGTCACTTTCAGAGCAGTATTAACTCTGTTTCTGAGAGACTTAAGGAAATGCTTCCTTTTAACTGTGTCATAGAATGGAGAGAATTAAAACAGTGTGGGAATAAATTTAAAAGCTCTTCTTAAATTAGAGCAAATTAAAGTGAAAACCTTATTTAATGGATTTTAAACACTTCTGGATCAAGTTGTTTATTTCTTTCTGTGAAGCCCTTCATGCTACATCTACAGATCTCATTTCGGTGATTGATTACAGTGATTAAATGATAAAAGCGTTTTTGTCAACTCTTGACCTCAATCTGTGCTATAGTCTAGGAAGTCTAGCTTCTAGTTGCTGTCTGTGACTTAAAGAAATTAAAGGAGGCAAAAATAATTTTATCTGAAAAGATACCAACACCTGTTAATGGAAGAATATTGTTGAAATCAATTATAAGCTTTCATTATAATTCTGGAAAGCTCTATCAGATCACGTTCTTAAAAATACCTCCAAAATACTGAAATAAAGACATGATAGATAGGAGTAACTTTGGTTTACTATCCTTCTGGTGCACAAGTCAGTAAAAATTATTAATAGCTTTAAGTATCCTCAGAACTGCCATAAGACCAAACTGATCTCCTTCCATACCCTTTTGATTTTACATAGAAGTGTGTAACTCTCTGATAGCACAGAGACATGCCTTATTAACAGCAACAACACCACAAGAGGAACATGTCTTGTGGTTGCAAATGTGGTGAGGGTTTGAATTCAGAGACTCAATGAACTCCAACAGATTAAGGTGCTAAATTCACAGTCAATTCTACAGATTTATCTGTCCATTATTAATTCTTTAAATTTCTGACTTCAGTCAAAATCTGCACATTAGAACTCCAGTCCACAGATTTTTCTTCAGGCTAGATACATACATGCATTTTTCTTCCCTTTAGTTATGACTGTATTAGAAATTGTGTATGTATATTGAATAATAATAGGTAAAGGGATTTTATCAGTAGTTACTCAGTGGTCCATCCCTACTTCCTATCTTGTCTAAATGTATTAATTTTTTCACATGCTTATTTTAAATTGACCTTGGTAACACTGAAAGTGTAAGTACTGTATGTGAGTCTATAAACATCTATGTTCCTCCTCCCTAATTAGATGAAACAAATTTTGCTTAACCACTTGTTTCCAAATTAGCTGCTAATAATTGTCATTTTGCAAATATGTAATCTAAGGATGCATTTTTTTAATGATGCTTTTATTCAAAGCGAATGTTTTTCACTGGTAAAGTAATGATGAGGTTGGAAATACAGTATCTGTTTCTGATGGGGATGAATAATGGTAAAGACTAAAACTTGGGAATAACAAACAACTGTATATGGACCGTTGAATGAAAAACTTTGAGTGTAATACACTTGTAGAAAGTTTTCCAGGTATGCATAATCAGTTAAAAATGAATATGTATGTATTAGTCCTTTATACAGGCCTACTTGAAAGGACTCTTATCTGACCAAATTATCTCTTCCTAAATCACTGTTACTTGTCACTTCTCGGAAGGTTGGATAAAGGGCTTTTAAGTGTAGGATTGATGAGCACCCTATAATTGAACAAATCTAAAAAATAGGGGCAAATTCCATTATTCTGAATGTTTGGAATAAAGTATCAGTCATTCAGATGTCCCCTGTATAACTGTAAACAAACTAGCCTAAAATTGACAGAATGAGAGATGTATGAAATTAGGCAGTAAATATTTAATTATAATTACAAAGTAGCATGTTAAATAAATGTGCGATCAGTCTTTCTTTTGTGTTAACCCTTGCTAGTAGTAATCCAGCCTTATTAAATGTAGTTTTGCTGCATAGATGACCTTTGGTCAGAAAGTTTCAAATTGTAGACCAGTAAGAGATTTGTTTTAATCTTAAATTTGTTTAAAATATCAACGTGGAAGAAAATTTCTTGGTGGAGCAGGGGTGGGAATAGATTGTCATAAAATAATGAAAAAGCACTGATACTTTTAAAGTAGTGTTTAAGCTGAAGGACCATTGGAGAGACTAAGGAAAATGGCAGATCAGTGCACTTGTACTTGTTTCAGAATAAATTAAAAATATGTTCAGTGTTTTGACTAGTAAATTTGTACCCATTTATTTGGTGTATTTATTGATGTAAGTCAGGCATGACATAATAGTTGTAATTCTGTCTGTAAAGTTAACATAAATGCTTAGGACTTTTAAAGAACCCAGTGACTGCTACCTTTGTTATTATTATATTATACTTCAGCAGACTTAATTTCAATATTTTTGTAATATCTATTATTTAGATTGTTCATAGCAATTAAGTTGGTTTATATCTGTATGTTTTACAGCAATCAACAAGCATTTTTACTAGAAAATGTCCCATGCAATAATGTAAGCTGCAAGAGTGTACATCGGATGTTTAAAGTTTATTGGGAGCTGTTGGATCTAAATCAAATCAAGGATGCTGTGGTGGCAACCTTCTTTGACATATATGAAGACGTAAGTTCAAGTCTGTACTGCAGCAAACAGTGTCTCTTGTGCTGTGTTGCTCTGTCTCTGTGGCATTGGCAGATTGGTTATAGAAACAGTGTATGGCAGGCAGTGCCTTCAGCCTAGGAAATTCAGCCCTGAGATGCTCCCAGGAAGGTGAGCAGACAGCAGCAGCCCTTCAGTGCCTAAATGTTTGCTGACCCTCCATATGCTTCATTTGAGCTGCCCTCTTCAGTGGCAAGAAAGAAGCCATGGATCACATGCATTGTTCTGGTGAGCTGTGGATAGAGAACTCTATCCTAAATTACCACAGATTAATAACATTTGGAAGATGTGAAGATTACTAAAAAAGGTATACAATTCACACACACTATTTTTTTCCTTTTTATCTCTAAGGGAATTTGTTTGCTACATTTAGATGTTATCTAGAGTAAATCCACATTCTAACATAATTTCTTTTGTTTTTCCTCTAGGGAATCCTGGATATCATTGTGCTAAGCAAAGGCTCCTCCAAAAAGGACTTCACTATCCATACATTAAAAAATAACTTTGAAGCAGATGCCTACTTTGTAAAAGTTATTGGTAAGTTGTCACTGTATAATCAAGTCAAAATGTGACCTTGAGAGAAATGTGAATATTTGAGCCTCTGTCTATGATAACCTTATGGTCATGCTCTGTGTATGGTAATTCTAGGAAAGAAAAAAACATGGTGTGGGAAGTATTGGGGATAGCAGAAATCTCCTGTTGCAGAATCTGAACCTGGATTTGGTTTTGTTTAGTTTCAAAGGGTTTTTTCTTGGTTTTATTTCAGTGTATTTATTAAAAATCAAAGTAATTCTGTCCACTGTATTCAACACTTGAACTGTTTTTAATATTAGTGTTGACCACAATGACCTTTAAATAACTGCTTGTCTCTAGTGTGTATTTCTTTTACAGGAATGCTTGTCTTATTTCATCCATTAACTAGAGGCAAGCTAAATCTTTCCTTTCATCCTGGAGCTTTCCTTCTGCATCCTAGCAAAATTGTGCAGACAGACACTGGGTCTTTCAAAACTCATTTCTCAGCTGCCTTCTGAAGGAAAAACAAGAACTATCAAGTGTAAAAAACAGACACATAAGTAAGATCCAGGGCTTCGATCCATAATGATGTGTAACAACGGGGAGAGTGTGTTCTGTGTGCCCATGAGGGGACATAACAGAAAGCAACAACTTGCAGAGTAAATAGTAATTTCCTAAATGACAGCTTCTAAAGTACTAACAAATTCCCAGAGAAACTGCAGACTTACCACAGTAGAGGTCCTGAGAATCAGGCTAAGAAATTATGTTGTATGTTTAGTTGTTTTTGAGGGAAGGGGTTGGGCTGTCTGAATTTGAGGCACCTTCTGTGAATTTTTTGTACAATACCTTCACTTATCTCCTCATACAGCATAATGCTGTCAATATAAAAATGGCACTAGGTCTACACATATCCATCACTCAACTTAAATTTTGTTTTTAATGTGTGATGTTATTGAAAATTTGGAGGACGATGAGCTCTAAAATCACTACTTTGAGAAAAATATAATTATGCTTGCACATATAGATATGTATGCCATAGTGAGACATAAAAGAACCAAAAGAAATTACAGCAATATTGTCTTGAAGCAACATGCTTTGTTTGTCCACAATGACTGCCTTTTTATCTTGCCTATTTTCAGAAACCTAGGCAAGAAGCACTAGCCAAGTGCACTTATTTTCACCTGAACCTTGATTGGCTGCAGTTTTTTCTTTGCAGCAGGGACTCTGTTTTGCTGTACCTCTGTCATATCAAGCCTACCTTATTGGGAGTTCTTTTCTGCATTATCTGGAAATTGCAAGATCTAGTGCAAAACAGGCTGGTTTCATTTCAGTGATGACTGGCATAGTGTATATTTTCTTCATGCTGCATGATCTATTCTGAGAGCCAGTTTGTTTCTATGTGTGAGTCAGTGTGGTGTTCTCAGCCTAAAAGCACTACATAACCCAAAACACATCTTAATGTAGAAAGCTCAGAATGACCATGAACATGGGAAGGAGGTGTAAATTAATGAAAGCCTTGGTTTAAAAGACTAGAGTTAGACAATGATATTTGTAATAGAGAGTAATTAGGTTTTCAAACTGCATGCCCTACCACGTTCTTCCAGACTGCCCAGATTTTAAGCTTTGAGCTCACTGTATGTCTGTCTTCCTTGTTTTTTTGGAGAGGGAATTAAAAAATGAGGTTGTAAGAGGACAGAGCTAAACAGAACAACTAGTGGTTCACCTTCAAAAACTGCATTTGCATTAATGTTATTTAAATGTATATAATCCTTCTAAATCACACATTCTGCTCATCTTAAGATAAACAGAACTGCAGGGGCTGATGTATTTGTTACTTTCTCCTTAGCCTAAGCTGTATTCTCCTTCTACTACCCCATAATGATTTGTCATGTTAATGGAAACCTTCTTTAAAAGAATACTGTATAAGGGTAGTGTAATTCACACAAGCATACAGAAAATTCTCTAGAAAATCTTGCACTTCGCAAAGCTGTATTAGAATTAAAACTGTGTGATATTTCAGTGGGAAAGAATAATTGGCAATGTGCTTTTTCACTCTGTGTAAATCTATCTAAAAAACTAGAGCAAGCCTTTTTTTAGCACCCTTTTAGGTTGTGAGTATTTTTGCATAGAAACCCCAGGAAAGGGGAATTAATGAGTAGTCTAAAAATATTTTTCCTGTGATATGGGAGAGAATATTTTGAACAAAAAATGCTTTGTTAGAGTTAGTGTATCAGTAAATGCAGCGTATTCACTTACTTGGCATATGGACAATGGGAACAGTTTTGCTTATTATAACTGATGTCAAGTGTACTTGGTTGGATTATTTGTTCCAGTAGTGAAATTGAACAGCAAATTGCAGTCTGCTGTTCTGCATCAAAACGGAAAGACTTGGTTCCATTTGCATACACACCTATGTATAACATAACAAATAAGACTGTAGCTTAAAAAGCCTATTTGTAGATACAGTCTTCAAATTCTGCTTTTCACACCTTTCTCTTATCTGTCCAGATATTTTTTTGAGGCAGTATAAAAATAATAGATTTTTCTGTGTTTAGAAATGTCAACATTTTTAAATCATTAGCAAAGAATAGTAACTTGGGAATCATGGCAGTTGTTAATATTTGCACACAAAATATGACAAGTGTTCCTTCAGTAGAACAGTGCCAGTTCTGACTCCTGTAGGGAACGATTTCTAGTCAAATTCTACTGTTAACATATTTATATGCACCTTTTCCTATTTCACTGTCCTCAAATATTTTGTACCCAAAACTCTCTGAAGCCTTAAAGTAAACAGAAAAAAGCTTTTTAAAAATCTAAGTGGGTAGGATAACCTGCCCTGAAATCTGGTCCAAATCTTGATTTTTGCTGCCTGCCACACTTCAAGGAGAAATTTGGTTTTTCACTTGACTTTGATACCACCTGGCCTATATTCTCTTACCTGCTCATAGGCATTATTTGGCTCCTGCTCAACCAAACTGTTGTTGGTTGAGTACAAATGATGCATCAAAACAACACCTTAGATATTTTTTTATGTTGTTTCTTTTAAAGTCATTTTAATATTAATGTTCTAATACTCACTGTGACAGGATCTAGGCTATAGAACACATGGCTTTCACTGTCTGTCATTTACTTGATTATAAACTGTTATATCTGTAACTTACCTGATTTTTTTTAACAAGTTTTATACAAGTAATTGAACAACTGTCACAGGCTTTAGATAAGTATCATTTTACACATCAGTTTATAATACTTTTGAATTCATGAAATAAACAGATAATGGCATTTTTGTTTGTTACAGCTTTTGTGAATGTATTTAAATTGAGATGTAAAACTATCCCTTGCATCAAAGAAAAAGCCTTTGCATACCTTTTTACTAGCTGAAACAGTAAGGCTGAATATCTACCAATATTTTAAAATTGCTAGAAATGAAGAATAATTAATAAAATGTACAGTCCACTATTTAAAAAATGTTTTCATTTGGGATTTTTTTAACTGGCCAATCTCACATTTTTAAACTGGTTAACCAGTGAGGTACGTTAAAACATTGACTAGCTGATCAATTTCCAGTAAAAAGCATATTTCACACAATTATTTTTTTTTTGTAGATCTACATAATTCATATAGAAGACATCTATTTACTTAACATGTTTTAATGAATACCTGACACTATATGCTATTTTAACAGATTTCAGAGGTAGTGCTTGTAAGATGGCTTAAAAACAAACACTACAAGAGCATTTTTTGTTTTTGTAGTTCTCAGTGGCCTGTGTTCTAATGACTGTCCTCGGAAAGTAACAGTAAGTATAACTGCAAGTTACTCTTTATCTTCAAATAAGCTGAGGTCAAGTTATACCAAAAACTCTCAACATAGATAGTGCGTTCTCTCAGATAACATCAAATGAGTTCTTCTTTTTCCAAACATGCTGTTATTTCTTTGAATTTCTAGGCATTTTTTACTTTACTTGTAACTTCCAAGGCAACATTAAACCTTTCTCAGAGGACTGGATTCTTTATAAGAAACTGAACTTTACTTGGCCAACTGATCAGCCTTGTTTTGAAAACTGTTTTCCACATAATCTATGACTGAAACAGTTACAAGATTTTTAAATTACCCATATAAAAAATAAATCATTAATACAGAAACCTTTTTATGTGGTTTGGTGTTTTATTACTATAGCTTTGTTTGTTCCTAAATTTTTTTTCCTGCTTTTTTTTTCCCTCCTCCCTTGTAGCCTTTTGGTGTTAATCAGCCTGGTCCTTACATCATGTACACTACTGTAGATGCAAATGGATACCTAAAAAATGGGTCAGGTAAGATCATCTCATAATGAGAATACACATGGCATGGTCTGTCTGTATATACTTCTAAGCAACCTGAAAAGTTTAAGTTTACAGAGTGAAATAGGACTGGTTTTTAATAGTGTCTTCAGTTTAAAAGGCCAAAACCCCTAACTTTCTTTTTTTTATTATAAATTGCCTATTTATTCCAAACACTGCAAGTGCATTCTTTGGTTTGAACAGTTGGCACTGTGTTGCCCAATCTGAAAAATCATTCTGTACAATATCATTGCTTGCTGAAATAGCATAAGCTTTTTATTATTTACTTGTCCTACCAGTTCCATAGCAATTCTGTATTAAGAAAACAACAATCTTGAAATTCCTAAATAGAATTTTGAAAAATGACCAACATAATATCTGCTAAACACAGGATGTATTTTTCTGGAGTTTTTCACTATAGCTGACAGTCTAGCAGGCACCTATAAAATCATGAGTAGCATGAGGAAGATAGATAATGGCTGCATCCCTTCACATAATACAAGAACTACAAGGTATCAAAAAATCATTAGGTAACAGGGTCAAAATAAAAGGACAGCAATAGTTCTTCATGCAACTTGTGGATAACTAGAGTTTTGATCATTGCAGATGCCACAGTTTACACGTATTCAAAACCAAAATTGACAAAAAAATAATCTATTGATTAATAATCCATGGATTATTCAATCCATGATCCAAACAGTGCCTAATGTTAGAATTTCCTTTGTTTCATGCTGCCTTCCTAGATATGTATTGGTGGCTCCTAGAAGACACGGGTGACTGTACTACATCACCTATTAGTCCAACTTACATCTGTTAATCTTAGGACCATAATGGACTCCTTGCTTAGGCAAAAAATCCCAAGCACACAAGCCAAAACATTATCAGCGTATACATGTCTGTAAGTTGCACCATTCTGATTCCTGCCCAATGGTGACAATCATCTCAGGACTCCACATTTATTTAGAATTAAGATTTTTTTTAAAAAAAAGCTTCCCATAACTCACTGGGAAAACTGTATTCTGTTTAACAGTAATTTAAGCAATAGCAATAGTTCAGGGAAAAACATGCTGACATGTTAAAGTCCTAAATCAATGATAAAGCTCTTACCTTGGATCCTGTGCTCAGGACTGTTCATTCCACCCTAGAAAAAAAAAAAGATGACATTCTGAAATAAGAACCAGATAGGTGAAATACTTATCCTGATATTCTGTACCAATGCTGCATTTGTACACACTTAAATATGGGCTTGAAAGCTTTGAAAGTATTAGGCTACATTGTAATCAAACTAATAATTAATTTTAACATGAAATTGCAGTGTATTTTTTCAGTTGTTGCACAAATGCATTTTAACAAATTAATCATCCTGCCAGTTGTACACTTCATTGCTCTGAAGGTTTTCTTTGTATATTAAACTTAAGAGCTTACATAGGTAGTTAGAAATACTTAAAACCCCATGACGACTTTAGAGATTTTTACTTACACTACAGTATTAGACTATTTGACCCATGCCCCTTGGCAGCCAGTTCTGGTTGGGTAACAACTGGCATCTCTCATTACTGCCAGTTGCCAAGATGAAGGCTTGCAAGCTTTGTCAGAGTGAGTCACAATACAGCCTATCTTGTTAACCATATCAAAAAAATACTGAGAAAGATCCTGTGTAGGTCATTACCCTTATCCCTCAAAAGCCTGGATTCCTGTGGACAGGAAACTTACTTTTCAGGATGCTGTCTTTTTAGTTATTTGTGGTACCTAATAATTTTTGTATCCAGTAGCTTACTTAAGCCAGTTTTAACCAGAGCATATATTTGTCAAAATTCTACCAGAATGTAAAAATCAGCGGTTTGGTTGGAGACAAAATTCCACATGAGGGAAAAGACTTTAGTTAGAGATCAGCAGTTCTCTGGTTTTGTCCCCAGGCTAGCCATATGGTCAGCGTGCGTGCAGTTGCAATTATCCCTAGTGTGAAATGTTCTTGCCCAAGCAGTAACAACGTAGCACAGCAGAAAAAAGCTCAGTGCACTGTGGAGAGTTTATGGGGAAATAGAAGATAAGGCTAAAAGATGTTGCAGGCTCAAATTAGGACACACACAGGAAGTAGAGCTGCTTGCAAAGACACGCAGGATTCATATTCATACAAATACAGACATCCTGAGTTTCACAGCTTCTCTCCCATTTTTTAAGGCTTTTTGTGTCAGGATAAGTTTCTAGAGGTTGCTGCTGTCTTATCCATGTTACTTTAACAAAGCAGGTCTGTCCACACCTGCTGCACCCATGTGAATACAACTAGCTTAAATGAAAATACAGCTTCACAGTTCCCTTGGTCACTTGACTTGGGAATAGATACCTACACATAATCTCATTATCAGAGAATCAGGAGTACTGTTGAACAACTCGGTTTGCCTAAGTGACAAAGAGACTTTTTTTTGTAAGAAAAGAAACATGAGTAAAACTGTCAAAGAGACTTTTTCTTCTTCTTTAGGAAAGTGCTATGAAATGGCTATAAACAAACAACCCACAACACAACCTTTACTTAGATGTAATTATTCTCAGCTTCCTTGTTCGTGTAGTTAGATAAGTTTTAGCTCTTGCTGCTTATTTGTAATTAACACAGTCTCCGAGTTAGAAATCTGGTATTTTAAGGGAACTTACACACCACATTTAAATCATATCTAGCAGCTAGTAGAATCTTTATTCTTTATATTGTTTTAGATTGGGCATATCATAAAGAGTAACTGTAGAGGATTGAAACAGCACATCTGGATGGTATATTACATGCTGCTTTTAAAAATAAATTTGATTTTTATAAATTGACAATTTTAATCAGAAAATAACAATGGATTTCTGGGATCTCAAGTGCAGAATATCTACTGAAAGGCTATTTACAGCAGTATAAACTGATCCTAAACCCCACTAAGAGGAAATACAAGTTTAGATGGGTTTGGTTTGTGTATGTTTGACCCTTTGGCCCTTTATACTTAAGCAAGCTTGGAAAAAATGTTGCCACTGGGTTATTTTATAACTATAGATCTCTGTGTCATGGAAGAAAGCGCATAGCTTACCAATTCCTCATATCTAACAGGAATAAAGCTAGCTTAAAATTTGAACCTATTTAATGTATCATTTTCTTAATATTTTTTTTTTTTCTGGTTGTTCCAAATACAAAAAAATCCAACGTTTTTCTTACACATTATCTTTAAGGCTTGGTGAGTTTGGTTGTTAAGGGGTTTTTGGGGGGGAGGTGGGATGGTGCTTTTGGAAATGCAATATTTTTACAATTTACTCTAAGAAACGGCTATCAAATATGATTTAATACTGCTATAGTACCATTCATATTCACTGCCACCACATTTACAATAAGAAAAACCTAAGAGTCCAACCATGATGAATTTACTTTTCTGTTTTGGCATTATGAAATAACAGTAATGAATTCCAAGTGCATTTATGACCCTAGCAGTATTGCTACAGGGAATTTTATAATGCTGTATTTGATCAGTTTCTCAACTGTAATATGTTAATAGATTTTTTTGAATCTGTATAATTCCTGCAAGAACTTTTCAAAGTCACATTTTCTGAAGCTATTAAGTTTGTAGATAAATTTTATTCTCTTACAAGTCCTACTTGTAAAACTCAATAAGTATTTTTCTAACTAGGATTACTGACCTATAGGTTATTACCCTGAAAAACAGTCTGTTACATCAGAATTGTATTCCCTTTGACTATCAAGAAATACCTCAAGGAACACTTTTATACATGTGTACTGCTGAGCAGTACCAAGCTCGTGGCATTTTTGGGCCATATATAAATTTACAAAACATCTTTTCCATATTCAGTTTTAAAAAATATGGCATCAATACAGTATTTTAAAACTAATTTTCACCCACTTGCTTGCATTCCTTATATAACGTCATGAAAAAATCCATATCTGAAGCTTTTCATTATATGAAAGCAATGCGAGAATCTGATAGTTTGTAATGATGTTTTTAACATAATTCATCTCTTGCCCAAGAAGTAACCCGAGTAGCAACATAGTTCTTTTTCTAATTAAAATAATGTTCACCATTCAGTTGGGTTTTTTTCATGTACCTGATGCTACTTGTTACCTTTACCACTGGTCTTACCAAGAGAGTAGTTATCGGCTGGACCACTGAAACCAAACTTTTCAGTCACCTAAAGTTACCCTTCTAGCCCTGCACTAAAGTAAATCCTACAGTATTCGATGACACATCCAGCATTCTGCTTCTGATCTTCCTAATTCTGCAGGTCTTTAGTTCTGAATTATATCTTTTATGTATGCAATGTTCATGCAAAGAGTAAAATAAAAAGCACATATGACTGTCCTTATCTAATTCATTTGAAGGTCCTTTGATCTGCCAAGCCTTAACTACAGGAAATTTGCATAATTACAAGGTTTTTTTAAAAAACATTGTTACAATTATTCTCTCCTATTAACATTCCAGAATGTTGTTAAAAGATAGCAGAATAATAAGTTGTGAATATTCTGTGCTTTTATTTTCATATTTCTCAATTAATTTGTAATCTTACAATGAGAAATACTGTTAAGTTAGCTACAAGAAACAGTAATTGCCGAAAGGAGCATTAGAATTGAGAAGTATTTGGTCTTGGATCTGCGGTTATTATCTCCACAGATATTTTCTCTCTTGACAGGAAATTCAATTGCAATAACTTCTTCAAATATTTCAGAAATTTCATGTTTGAGATCAGAACAGGTCCAGGTGTAAATCTGGTAGAAGTCCAAAAACCCAAACTTAAGTCATGCTTTCTGATCCATTTCCTGCAATTTACCTTCTCCATTCCCCATTTATTTTGGAGTTGTCACTTTTAAGAAGACCCCATGGTTAAGTATGAGTGTCATCCTGGATTTTCAGCTCTATATCTGCATTTCCAGGCTTTTATTAGCTTCTAAGAAATGTCTGAAGTCATTCTGACACAGTGCTTTTCAGCTGAATCCTATAAGCAACAATGCATAGCGTAGA